TCTGTGCTTTGAAGAACAAAGCATAACACACCAAAAAATTGCATGGACTGTGCAAAGAGATTATAAAGGAGAAAATCAAACAAAACAATGTAGGTCAAATTTGGCACATAATCCAATATTGTAAATTTGTGGGTATGGGGACAAATGTTTCTTCTTTAAAATCAGTTATTGTGTCTGAGAGGGGCTGGTGTGTTTGTCAGCCATCCATCCACACCATTAAATGTCTTCACCTCACAACTGCTGACCCTCACAGGGCTCCTTTCACAGAAAAGGGGCCACTGAGAGCAGTGTCACTGTGCATAGAGTTAAATCATGGGGGTGAGCAACTGCAAGTTCACCATTCACCAGCCCTTTATCCCGACAGGCACAAACCCTTATGTTTCTAATTAAATTAACTCATTCATACCTGTGGGAAAATCCCAGCCCAGTATCACAGAGTGCACTGCACAAGCCAATACACTAATATTCATAACAACTGATGCATTAACTGGGATTTGAATGGAATCATTTAAGCATTAATAACATTTCCATCTCTGGAGATCAAGCCTGTTCACTTCCGTGTATTTTGACATCCTTTAGCAACTGAGCGTATTGCTAACAGAAATCTAAGAAAAGCCAACACACTAAGCATTTGTTTGCATAAATACAAATGGAACCTGGGCATAAAATTAGGGCTATAGAGCTGTGAGAGTCTTTAGCATAAGCAAAAGAATCTTAACATTTAGGGACAATACAGTAGATATATTCTTAGCTATTACATATATGAAATGCAATAATGGGTGAGACAATGATGCTCCCAGGCCACTATCCCACCATCTTCCACAGAAGCTTTAGGAGGAAGGCTAAACAACCTGTTTAGATAAGAAGCACATCCTCAGGAGATCACATACCAAACCCCTAAGCAATTACTTGTGCTCAGAAACAAGAATTCCTTATTTTCATACATCTCAGAGTGAGTCAGGAAAACTAAAGTTCAGGGACAGTAAATGTGCTGACTTACTCCTGGCCTACAGATATGCATAATGTTGGGTTTGGTGTGGTTTTTTTTCATTTGCCATAGCCTTTTCAATGGCAGTTTTTGTTTATTTCTTTTGAGGTTTTTTTAGAGAAGTTAGGCTACATCTATGATTTCAATGAAATTAATGTTTAACTTAAAACACAACTATTACTGAGAACAGATTAACAAGTGATTTGTGCTTTTCTTATTCTACATGTTGACTTCCTTACAGGGCCATGTATCAAAATCTTTAAGTGCAAAATTGGGATTTTAGTAAAGGCTAGTTCAGAAAAAAGCTATCCCTAATGCAGGTGTCTGTGGTACAGCAGAGGGTTGTTTAAACATTGATTCACTTCAGCTCACACAGGAGCAGATGCATGGATGCACGTACAAGACAATTCACAATAGCATATCTGGGAGAGGCAAAGTAGCACTTCTAAGTGGGTTGGAAGAACACAGATGCTTCTGCCTGCTGCAATGAAAAAACACTCTCAGTACTGTAAAAATGTGTACAAAAGAAGCCAGGGACCAAATGGTACTTGAAAGATAAGCAGGATGTTTTGAATAATGGCTGAAATAATGAGAGTCTAAATTCCCTATCTTCCAAAAGACCTTGGGGGTGGGGAGAAACTATCATGACCCAATTCCTCATTTCCAGATGGATTTTTTTCTTTTTCCCTGATAGAAGCATGCCTAGTCACTGCAAAGTATAGTATTTAAGGCGGACTGTGTTTTACAAAGATTTCTAGACAGAAAATCATCTGTGTGACTCCACATAGCAAACAGAGCAAAGGAAATAATGCAGGCTCATGGCAAATAAAAAAATCTTCTGTAGGTACTAGCAAAATGTGGCATGCAGGGTTATTTTTCAGACCTGCTACAGTTCACAATATGGTCTCATGAATGGCTGCACCAGCATAAGTAGGAGTGGGTGCAAGGGGGAACACTTCTTTCAAGTGATTTAATTAGAATTATAGGCTGAGATAAATAACAGAATTTCCCTGCCTGCTTCTTTTTAACATTTCCATGTGTTTTCTTTTTTTTTGGTTCTAATCTTGCATGCAGGCATTGCTTTGGGCAGGACCAAAGGCTGATCCTGCCCTGCATCTGCTTAAATAGTGGCCTATAGCCAGAACCATAGGGAAAAAGCATAAGAAACAAGACAAGCTTCAAAGGACCCTTCCTCTATCATCTTCCATTAACCAGTAGTTTGGAATCTTCATGCAGAGCTCACTAAAACTGTGAAAGAACCATATCAGAAGTATTGCTCCTATAGTTCACTGCTACTTGGAAGAGAGTTTTAAGGGGAAAAAAATATATAAATATGTGTAAAATAAAGATCTGATCAGAGAAAGGCACCATCATATAGCTGCAGTAATTATTGCAGTTCAAATATATGCACAAGCTGTCATATGCACAAATACATTTATTTCACCAGTGTGCAGGAATTACTGGGAAAAAAATAGCTCAAAAAAAGCATATACAGAGGGAAAAATAACCATGGTAAAGCAGCCTCAAAGTAGTGGAATAGTCGTGGTCTAGAGGCACTGAAGCTTTAGCAACCTGGCAGCTGTCCCAGAGGGACTCATCACCCACACCACCTAGGTCAAACTGACAGCACAGAGATCAGGGAAACTTCTCTCCCATGCACACAGCTATTAAACAATGATCAGCCTAGCTGCTTATCCAGAAAGATTCAAAAGATCTATCGTGTAAAATAAAACCTCATTGTTCCCAGCTTTTAATAAGAGTTCTCTGAAAAGCATCTTTAATGATCGTAGCCACACAGGCTTTATGGGAGAGCAAATCACAGAGGACAGACCATACATCTCTGCCCTGGGAAAAGCCAGGGACCATTTCTTCCTGGACCCAATGATCAACTGGAAAAGCAACTTTGGTTTGGGAGCAGCAGGAGAGAGAAAAGAGGAGGAGAATATCACAAAGATTTTCAAACCATAATTGCTATGAAAATGTTGACTTAAAAGTATCTGCTTGCTACTTTCTGCTATACAGCAGCTCTCAAGGCTCTCATGCAAAAAAACCTCCAGCAACACCAGGAATATGCAGAATCTTGTAACTATCTGACTTAATGGTAACTCTTCCCTTTCTTTCTTCTTCCTCCTATGAACTCATGTCTTGGGGTTTCTGTGAGTTTTCACCCTAAAGCTTTCCCCAGTAGAATGTACACTGAGGTATATAAATAGGAGCAGGCACATGCAAACCAATTGATACAGATATTTTGGGATATTAGTGAAAAAAGGGATAAGGGAACCCCACAGAACTTGCCTTCACCAGCCTTTGTTCTTTTAATTACTTTTTTTCCTACTCAAGTATAAATAGTGCTTTAATGGTTTCCTTGAGACAAACTATTCTGACAAATGTTTATGGTGCTAATAAGGAATTCCCTGCTCTGTGAGTAGGCAGATGTTTAGACAGTTTGATATGGGAAACATTACACAGCCTTGGCTGTAACAGCTCATAGGAAAGTTTGATGCAAGATCAGTTTCTTTTTCCAGTCATGCCAAATTGCAATTTATAGCAGTAGACTAGGAGGTAGCACCTCCAAGGAAAGCATCCTGCAGAAACAAAGAACATGTCACTGCAAATAGTAGCAGTCTCCAAGCACCAGTTTGCAAGCTTTTAGGGTTTGTTTAGTTGAAGGTTTGGGAGGGTGAGGGGGGGTCTCTTCTTCATTTTTTTTTAATTAGACAACAAAAAGGATGAGACCTCAGACCCTCCCACTTACTTGTAGCAGAATGATTGCTAATACCTCTCAGACCTTAACCCAGACCAGGAGTCCACTGGATGAGGTGCTGTAAAAAAAAAAAAAAAAAAAAAAAAAAAAAAGAGTCCTTTACCTTCACAGAAGTCCCCTTTTCCTGCTTACGTGGAAATATTATCCAAAGGTAGTTATTTTGCATCCTAAATCCCAAGCTCTGCAGGAGAGATCTAATGTTTTTTCCCCTGCTGCAGATGCTCAAGATCTTCATCCAAGCTCTCTTCAGGGCCTGATTCAACCAAGCAATACACTGGCCAGTATTGCTAGTAAATAGGAACATCTTATTAAAACAACCCCCACTCCCACCCTGGACCCACAGTGACATGAAACAACATTTCCCCATCGCTGTTCAATCACCATTCAAACAGGAAGCAAAACAAGACTTTCATTTTGAAGTACCATTTTATTTTCTAATAGGTTTGTATACAGAGCTTCAGCCGAGTTCAGATAAACTGTGCACTGCAGTAGCTGTAGGGGGGTACAGGGGTGGCTTTTGTGAGAAGACACCAGAAACTTCCCAATGTCTGACAGAGCCAATGCCAGCTGGCTCCAAGACAGACCCACCCCTGCCCAAAACTGAGTCCACGCAGCAGATCTGGGATAACGTATTTAAGATGGATGGAGAAAATCCTGTACAACTGCAGCTGTAGAGGAAAGTGAGAATGTGTGAGAGAAACTGTGCCAACGCCAAGGTGGGCAGGAGGTGCTCCAGGTGCCAGAGCTGAGCTTCCCCTGCAGCCCATGGAGGAACAAAGATCTGCCTGCAGCCTGTGGAAGATCCCATGCTGGAGAAGGGGAATGCCCAAAGGAGGCTGTGAGCACACGAAAAGCCCATGCTGGAGCAGGTTTGCTGGCTAGTGACTCCACGGAGGACCCATGCTGCTGGAGAACTGTCTTGTGTGGGAGGGACCCCACAAAGGAGAGAGGAAGAGTGTGAGGAAACCTCACCATGAGGAGGAAAGAGTGGCAAAGACTGATGAACTGATCACATTCCCTGTTCTCCTGAACCATTGTGGAATGGAGATAGAGAAAAATCAGGAGTAAAGCTAAGCCCAGGAAAAACAGAGGATGGGAGGAAAATATTAAGATCTGGGTTTATTTCCCATTATCCTACCCTGATTTGATTGGTAATAACTTAATTTTTCTCCAAGTCAAGTCTACAATTGGTGATCAATCTCTCCCTGTCCTTATCTTGACCCATGAGCCTTTTGTTTTATTTTCTCTCCCCTGTCCAGCTGAGGAGAGGAGTGATGGAGCAGCTTTGGTGGACACCTGGTCTTCAGCCAGGTTCAACCCACCACACCACCACCTCTACAAAGCACCACTTTACACACTTTTCAGAACACCAAAAGAGTGAAGTAGTATTTGCACCAAAAAATTGCATTATAATAGCAGAAAATGTGTAAACATTTTTAGTGTACTCAAATATAGCATCTACCTTGGAATACTGGGCCACATCCCTACAAGATAGTGCATGTTATGGGAGAGCTCTCTGAACAGGGCCTTGCTGTGATTGTCAGATGTGCTAAGGGCTGCTGTGAAGTCCCCCAGTGCATTCTGCAACTCCCCTGCCCAGCCTTTGAGCCAAGTTGGATCTCTTTTAACCAACACAGTCCAGATATCCATATGCAAGTGGAACCAAAGGAAGAATTTGTCCAAACTGCAGCTGAACTTCATCTTTCAGCTTCATAAACTATGTCCTTGGTGTTGGCTCTTGGTGCTGTTCTCTGATAATTCCAAGTGACCAAAACTTCCAAAACTTTTCAAAGTGACCTCTGGTTGTTGTCACCTGCCTTAATACCAGGGATCAGACATTTTCTAGGAGACAACACAGGAAATTCCTCTTGAAGTTAAAATGGCAACAGGGAATTCCCTGCTGTTGAAACCAGACAGCGTGAACCAGTTTTTAGAGTACTGAGAAAGCTACAATCCAGTTTTTAATTTGAAAGTTTAAACAGAAGAAGTTTACCCTAGAGCTTTGTATCGCTGGACACTCTGTTAGAGCATAGTCCACAAGTCAGAACTCCAGCCCTTTGGGTTGTGGTTGCATCAGCACTAGATTTGATCAGTCATATTGCTGAAAGCCCTCCATGCTCACTGTTTCATGGTCTCTTGCTCCATGTACCTGTTCCAGTAAGATCTGTTTGCAAATCAGAGGTTCTATGTGGTCCAGACAAGGTCCAACAATCCATGCATACTGTACTATGGTAGAGGCTTAAATCAATTTCAGGCTTTTTTTTGCCTGTAAACTAATTTCTATTTTAAATAGCTTGATTGAACCTAGACATACGGGTATTTAAACTTCCCTTAAAAGTTCCCTTGTAAACCAGAGTTTGGGATTTCATTTCTCTCAGTGGCATGGCAGGTAAAGAGGAGTGAGCACGCCCATGTGATGTTATCTAGGGAAGCAAGAAATGAACATAATGATCGCAGCCTTGCTGCTTTTCTGTTAATCCACACGCAGTGCCTGCCTACACAACAGCAGCAGAGTGCACTGTCTTTGCCTGCAGCATTCACCCCACTACAGAAGAAATAATGGCTTTTGTGCTTTCTGTACCCTCAGATCCTGACAGTCCATGGTCCATACTTACACACACTGACGCCTGGTCTGGGTCTCCCATCACAGCCAGGTTTCTGGCATAGCTTTAGTAAACTATCAAACTACCTATTTTGAAAGCAAGATAAGGAGGAGGAAGAGAAGAGGTAAGCATGAACTATTCCATTAACTTCCTAAACCAAGAAAACAGGTCACAATTCTGTCCAACCAAACCTACAATCCTCCTCAAGATGCACAGAAACTATTCAAAGCATAAATACTCAATGAATGCCAAACCTGCACAGTCAAGCAGGTTTCTTCTCTCTGTAGGAGCTTAAGGAGGATCTCTCCACATTGCTTGCAGTTTGTTTCCATGCACAAGAAGTCTCTGAGAGGTATTTATTCCATTCACATGAAAAAACAATTTCATGTACTTGAAAGACAAAAAGGATGGCAGCACAGAAAGTTTTCTTCATTACAAAGTGTTTTTCCATCAGGCAATTATTTATAAGAACTTTTGTTAACACTGGAGTTGAGGCTCTGGAACAAAGTGGATATATTGTTTACTAGCTTTGCCAGTCAATCTCCTCTTACAAAACCTCTCCCTTCCCCCTCTCCTTTTCCAGCCAAGTCAGTCCTTGCATAGCTCAGGAGTTTCCTTTGTCACCAAGATCTCCTTTTCCACAGATTGTCCCTTGAATAATGCCATCTTCAATGTAGTGGCCCGAGATATCCGTGCTCCTGCAGAGAACTGTTGAGGGGATCCGAGACGAGCGTCTCTCCTGGCTCTTGTCGTCAGAGGAGCAGCAAATCATCCTTTTCATGGTAGCCCACATCTCATCATCTTTGTATGAATAAATAATTGGATTCATAACAGAGTTCAACAGGGCCAGGAGAAGAAACCACCTTTTAACGTTCTGAATCCCACAGTCAGTACAGTTCAGGCCATCAAGCAATAAGACAACCAGGCCAGGGGTCCAGCAGACAACAAAGGCACCTAGAAATATAGGAGACAATAAAAAGAAAACCAAACCTGACTTCAAACTTCTAGGGTTTTGGAGTATTTAATATCTTACAAGATTATTGAGTTTGTCAAAATTCTACACAAAAATGATGAAAGCAGGAGAGGACAAAATTCTAATGACAGTAGCAAGATTATATCTGCTACAGTTCCTCTGGCAAGTCCTGAGCAGGAGGCAGGGCAAGTCTCAGAAGACTGCAGGGAGCAAGAATCTGAGCTGCTGACAGCATCAACTCAAACAAACACACATGGGAAAAGGTCATCACAACAGTGATTTATGCATGCTGATAAATAAACAAGAGCTCTGGAGCATTTAAAAGCAGAGAACTGGCACTTGAACACACTTCCTCTGCTCATCTCTCTCATGTACTGGAGGAAAAGATATCCGGTGGCTCACTTCCACCACTGCCATAATATGACCTAAAGAGACAAGTCTCCTGCCACCCTACAGCTGACTCTGCAGTGCCAATTAATAAGATAGGTGCCACATAATTTAAACATGTCCTGGGTGAGAAACCCACAGCCAGTGTAGGATCCATGTCACTGCCTACAATAAACTGTGGAATCCCCGGTCAGAGCTGAGCTCACCTCCTTCCACTGCTCCCTCCCAGGCTCTGCATGCTGAGACACACTAATTCAGCTGCAGGAAAAAAATTCAGTTACAGAGGAAAAGAGAGGAAGAAACAAATAGATGAGCTTGTAAAGGTGAAGTAAAGGATATAGCAGTCAGGGCAAAGAAATGAAGCGGCAGGGGAAAAAACAAAACAAAACCAAAACAAAAATTATGAGGAAGTAAGTGCATAGTGGTGGGGGAAGAGAAAACTCTGCAAGAGAGGCAAAAAAAAATTAAAGGGAGAATCAGGGAGATCTTAGACAGACTGAACACAGCACAAAGAAAGCATTAAAACCACATCTTAAAAGGCAATTCAGTATTGAATTTCCACCTTCTGATGTTCCTGCACACCCACACCATGAGTGGGGGTGAGGAGGGGTAACATTGCTACCAAATGCAGCCTCAGCCACAAGTTGGAGAGGGGCCTTGGACTGCCCCATCTGCCCTTTGGTCTCCCTGCTGCTCTGCACCCCCTGATCCCTTGCCCAGAGCCCAGGGAAGGAGCAGCCATATGCATGATAATACTAACTTAGCACAAGCCACAATTGCTGTCTGACATACAGAAATAGAAAATTACAACTCTGCCCAGCAGTCACAGTTTGAACAATGTACCGAGGAAATTCCAATCACTTATCACAGCAGAGTTTCCTCATTTTGGAGCTTAGAAAAAAATAATCCAACAAATAATAGCATCTAGATGCCTAAAAGGTCTCTTGGAGATGTGGATATTTGTTCAACACTTTTGGTAGAACAAGCAAGTCCACCTCATCTTTTAAAAGCTGCTGATATTCCCAAATCCAAGCAGTGGAAGCCAGCAGTGGGAGGGAGCCTGAATCCCAGGGGCAGAGCCAGTGCTCAGCAGCACCCCAGGCACCCCCAGCCACCTGCACACACGGGCTGGTGTCAGCAGCACTGGCACTTGTGCCCATGGAGGACTGCAGTGGACACTGCCCACATGACAGGCAGGCCATAATGGTATGTTAACTGGATTTGTGTGATTTAGCAAGCGCTAGGATAGCTGAAAAATTTATCCAGAACAAGGTATTGTGGATCTTGCTGCAACCTTGTGCTCCTGGACTACAGACAAATTTCAACTGCCCTAGGCAATACTGAATAGAAAGGCAAGAGACCACTTTCTTCACAAACTGAATTTTCTACTCTGCTGCACCAAGACTTTTGTGACGCTAAATACTAATTTCATGGTGTTAGTTTTGAGATATTGGTTAACATCAGTAACATTCCTCCATTGCCCATTGGCACTGGGAGCTGCATGCTGCTACCACAACACTTGTTTTCCCTGGTCAGTCTTTGTACTACACACTGGTTTGGTTCCTGCATGCTGAATAAGCAGTTATGAGCAGGGCACCAGCTCGCCCTTATCTTCTACAATGGAGAAAACACTGCACAGATTTGCTGTCCTGGGCTCACCTGCAAACCCCATCAGTTTTAACAAGTGCTGTAACCCAACCACCCAGACAGTGCTGTGCCTAGTGCAGTGTCTCAGCAAGTATTCAGACACAGAGCTTTCACTGCCTACCAAGATCAGTGCCAAAGCTGCCAATCCACCAGCTCCACGCAGAAACTGAGATGGTAACAAACCCTCCTTAGAACAGACACTGAAAGCGTTTGGACCTCTTGTACCATAAAGTGTGCAAGATGCAACCATGCTGTTATGGAAGTCGGCAGGAGAGGAAAGAGACCTGAAAGGGCACATTTAACAAAAGACACAGACCTCTCCTTCTAATAGAACACAAGATTTCAGGCAGGAGTAGTCCACCAACTTCTAGAATATCTGTCTATCTATACAAGCAAAATCCTATAAGGTCTCAGCTGCAAAAGTAAGGGAAGATAAAAGACACCTGCAGGTGTGTCTCCACACATTTCCCATGACCAAAAACAAGCATGGGCAATGCAGTGACTGTGTCCAAGTTACTGGATAATGCTTCCTTGGGGCTGCTCCTTTGACTCCATCAAAACCACATTTTTCTCTTAGCACCACAGAGATGAAAGTGAGGCATGTCTCAGACTCACAGCCTTGCTCAGATTTTGTTATTTTTACCACCCTTTCAGAGGGAACCATGGTTAAGCATAAAAATACATCTCAGTCTCAGCCCTTCGGCAATTTTCTTGTTTGCAGAATATTTATCCCATAGGAGCTCCCCGCCCTGACAAAGTGCTACACTCCAAAAATAATTTAACTTCTGGGACTCTTTAAATTTCACAAAAGTGACATGAAATACAGCCTGACTACCACACAGATTAGAACAACTTGGAGTCTTTCCACCAGATTATGGGAGATCAGGTGTCACAATGCCTCAAGGTTAGTTTAAGGATTTTCCATTAGATTTAACCATGGAATTTCTTGTAGATTACATCATCTCTGTTTAAAAATTAATTCCTGTGGATCTGGAAGCACTACTGATGCTTCAATAGCATCAGTTTATAAACTCCTGCACATCAAGGCTGTCCCTAAGCATTCCAACACTGAGAGAAAAAAGAAGTGCAGTAGGTTCCAGCTGCCAATGCCACATGTGCGACCAAGTTAAAACAGTAAGTTACCAATTAAACTATAAATTCTCTGAAACTGAAAATCATCCCCTCCAAAGCTGCTATTTCAGCACGAATCTCACTGCCAGGTTCAGAGGATCTACCATATACACAACCTGAAAATCACATACCCACACACCTGCAGCCACTCTTCTTCAAAGCTACAGTCACAGCTGGGGCTATGCCACAAGGTCAGCCCAAGAGGATTTTAGCCCCATTTTCTTGGTTTCACATCTTCAGTTTCCACTAGATAACTCCCTGTGGTTTAGCATGCCAAAGGGAAAGCCTTACTCCTATGCCACGATGGACAATTTTAGGGGTTATGAAAGGGACTTGACTCCCAGCCACTGGAAGGGACTCTCCAAGCCTAAGTGATGGTGCAAAAAGCCACCTGAAGCTGTGGTCACCAGGAACCCATGAAATGACACTAAAATCTCAATTCCCCCAACTCTCATCTGTAGGGCCACAGGAGAAGAACACCCAGAGAGGACAGGGATGTTTTGGTGGAAGGGCAGCCAGCCACAGCCCAGCCTTCCCAAGGAGGGAGCAGGAGGAAGCTGGGAGGAGCAGCAGTGCCCAGCTACACACAGCCTCCTTCCTCACAGAGGAGGATTTTGCCCTGGATCTCCCATGAAACTAATAGAGCACATGAACAACAATGTTGGGGTTTATTATGTTTTATACAACACGGCATCTTGGAATGGGCTTTTAGTTAAGATTATATCAGGCATGTACTCCAAAGCATTTTCAGACATTTTGGGAAAATACATTAAAAATAACTGCTTTGGCCAAAACCCACGTGCTGCATATAGCTCTAGGCTCTTGCATCAGTGGTTATAAGCAGAATTTTGGAAGAATCACATTGGTCACTTGGTGACTCCTGTGGGAATTGGAGAATTCAGAAAACAAGCTATTTGGTTTTTAATACATTTTGCACACAGTGCTTGAACGACTTGGCCAGGAGAACACATTTCAAACGGTTTTTAAAAGATAAGTTCTCATTCTTAGAAATAAACGGTTATAAAAAGCCCCTCAGAGTCAAAATTTGGAGAACTGATATGAAGGAACATGCCAAGATATATTTCCTCTGACCCAAGAGCTTGAAGTAGACTATATACCCAGAAACACCAGCACTAATTTAACTTCTTTGGAAGCAGGCTCTGTTTCGGTTTTGTTTCTGACTGGCAAAGTAAATATACAAAATTATGATCTCCAAAGTAACTCTCAGGCTAAGTTAAATTTGCCTGGCCCAGCACACAATAACATTAAATGTTCTACTGAATTATAGTTCAATTTCATGTCTGAAAAGCCATGTGCTGTGAGTAAGAGGAATCTAATGCTGAACTTCAAATCAACCCATAGCCCTAAAGCTCCACTCTCTAGCAAAAGAAATATCAAGCTTGAAATGAGATTGTAAGTGAGGTTTATTTCCACACAGCAGCACAGTCACAGAGAACACCGAGGGCTTTCCACAGGCTAAAGGACCATGAGGGTTGAGTGAATGGCAGCCACCATCCCTGTCCCTCCAACTCCCACACTGGCTGCAGGGTGCAGTCCTGTCTTCAAAAGAAATGCTGAGAACTGCTCTTTAAAAGTGCTCTGTTTTCTGTTTCTTTCCAATGCAGCAGTTACCTACAGTATACTCATCTCCATGCATCAGGAGTAGTATATTTGTAGCAATTCAGAGTTTTCCTGCAGGGATTTTCTCCTTCCAGGTAGATGGTTTAGATTTTACTGCACAAGAGCTTAAGTGGGGCAAAAGATCAAACCTTGCTCTTGCAAATCAAGGGCAGGGGGTCAGGAACAACCACCAAATTGAATCTCAAAAGAAGAACAGCTAAGGAACGATTTACAAAGACAAAGCTGACAACAGCCAAGTCAACTCCAGAAGACATAGAAATATAAGTGAGAACTTTGTACGTGCTTGAACTACCAAGCTACTTTCTTTTACAAAGTCAGGCACTGTGAAGTTTAATGGATTTCAGCTTCTGAAGCTCTTTAAGACATGATTTGGTAGACAAAGGTGTTATGTAGCACAGCACTATTATTACAGAAAAAAAAAATAAAATCAGATACTAGACTGTGCAAACAGCATCCAAAAACTGCAAGGGGAAGAAAGTGTCCTCAACTTGAAATTCCTACCCTGGCAAGCCCTACCTCCATGAAAAATTACACTTTTCTCCCAGAGCTCTGTGATTCTACCATGCTGCAGTATCACACAACTGTGTCCCAGGTATACATGACCACCAGCTTTCCCCAAAGCTCCAGTTTTGCTGTATTGGCTCATCCAACCTCAGAACAGCTGTTAGAGTAGTAAAGCCATATTTGTGTGTTTAGAGTCCACCACCACCTGAGCCCAGCTTCACAAGTGTATCAGTGTGTCCCCAGTTGCACCTGGAGCCCTGCTTACATATTTGGCTACCAGGACACATCTTATTCAGATTCAAGTAATTCTGGGGAAAATTGACTGCTACAGCTGGCATACGTTCCAAGGATCTGTCACCTGCTGTGTTCATCTCTAATTTAATGTGCACTACATCACAATTCCCTGATGAAGTGATCTGAGCTGCTCAAGGATCAACAGTGTCTTTAAGGTAGAAGCCGAGGCAAATCTCGTTTTATGATTTAGAGATCTAAGGCTAGACTGTACCATCATTATCTAAAAGTATTTTGCACCATGCAGTATCCACAGAATGAAGGTTAATCCTTCACATGAAAAGCAAACCTCTAGCAAAGACACAGACCCACCAGCCATTCTCTCCTTCCACTAAGGAAAGTGCATTTCCAGGGGGAAGAAGTTTCTACATCCAGGAACCAGACAAGAGGAAGATGTGAAAAGAAAATTATCAACATGCAGTATTAGTGCTCATGACCTTGTGTAAATATTAAAATCATTATTTTGAAAATGTTCTACTAGGTAATTATAAATCTTCACAAGCCTTTCTCCAAAGTGATTTCTCTTCCTGCAAAATATAACAAAAAAACAAAAAAACCCCCCAAACTTTTACCTTCACAATTTGTGTTTTGTAGCAAGGCACCTACACTTTTCTTCTATATGTTGACCAGTCCTCTATCTCATGTTTCTGCACAGTGCAATAGCTATCTCACTGTCTAAAGCACATAGAAGTCTAGATGCCTCCAGCATTTACAAGTCCAGTAAGGTTTTTTTGTGTTAGGAGGGCTGAGCAATTGTTGTGGAGTTTTTTGTTGGTTTGTTTCAAATAAAAGATAAACCAAACCAACACAAACCAATCCACTGGCCCTGCTAGCCTTGCCCATCATGGTTTGTAGTCTCTTACCTAAGACAGTCATGACAGTCTTCATAAGCTTCACAGGGGTTCTCCTGCGGCTAATGGACCCGCTGGTGTGTGACGACAAGACATTGGTTTTCCTCTGGACATACATGTAGATTCTTATGTAAACCACCACCATAATGAAGAACACAACCAGGTTTAAGACACTCCAGAACACCAGGTAACTTCTGCTGTAAATGGGTGCCAGGGATGAGCAGACAGTAATGTCACAGAGGCAGTTCCAGCCCAGGGTCGGAACAGCGCCCATGAAAATAGCGATGGCCCAAATGGAGATGATTAGGAAGGTGACTCTCTTCTTGGTGAGGTTGCTGTGGATCTTCATGCGCATGATGGACATGTGGCGCTCCACAGCGATGACCAGGAGGTTCACCAGGGATGCTGTCAGGCTGGTGTCCAGCAGACCCTGGCGCAGGAACCAGCGGTTGACCGTCAGCGTCTTGGACACCGGGCCAGTGTTGAACATCAAGAAGACGTAGGCGATGCCAGCAAAAAAGTCTGCAGCTGCTAAGTTGGCCAGAAGATAATAAAAGGGAAAGTGAAACCTCCTGTTCTTCACCACAGCTGCTATGACCAATGAATTTGAAATAAAAATGAAGAGGCAGAAAAATGTGCCAAAGCATAGAACACCGATGAGCTGTGGTCCTGTCCACTCATCCGCTGTGTCCGCCTTGGTCCTGTTGTAGAAAAAGTCCATGCGCTTGTCGTAGTAGCATTCATTCATCCTGGATTAAAGCCCCTGCATCCTAGGAAGGGTGGAAGGGAAAAAGAAAGAAGATTCAATCTGCTAATAGTCCCTGCTTCAATCACCATACCTTCCTTTTTGGGGGAGTGACAGGGACACAAGAGGGTGTATACATGGAGGCCTTAAGTAAAAATTCAAACCGTACAGGGTTGATGCAGAAGACATTCTGGAGGACTACAGTGAATGATGCTTGGATGAATCAGGAATTTTAAAATATTTTCCTACTTAAAAAATTCCAGCACAGTTTTTTTGCACAAGCAGTCATACAGGCAACAAAGTGGAAGTTAAGCAAATTACTTTCTGAAGGTCATGGAGAAAATCTGAGCAACAGCCAAGCCATTCTTGCTTTGAAATCCCATGTTTGAGCCACAGCCCCATCATTATTTCCATTTCTCAGTGTAGCCAGTTGGGATAGGGAAGCATAAATCATAACTCTTCTGTTTTACTGACTAAGCAATAAAAGGCTCATTACAGAAAAATATTTTTTGGTTTTTCAATTATACATTAATAAATGTAAAAAATGTGTATACAAGTATATAAGATACTACAGGCCTATATATTCTGAGCACATATCTGTTACTTACTACTAGAAGACTTAAGTCAATATACTGAAAAGGGAAAAATATTTTCTAGATATTTGACTATTCTAAAGCCAGGAGTTATTTTACTGGGCTGTCAACCCAGTGGCTTGTGAGCACCACACAGCCCAGTTATCTTTAAAACCAAAATCCAGTTCCCTACTCAACCACAGGCTAAAGCAAGCCTCAGGAACAGCAGTTTATTTCTGGGGTTTATTTCTCATCCCCACTCAGCACTATTTTGGACACAGGGCTATTAAACGTGATGATGGAGAGAGAGTTCAAGCTCCAGATTACATCACACTTCTGCTACTCTGGAGAGGTCAATGTCAGCTGCCTTGGCAATTTTACTGCCTTTTTTATGAACCAAACTGAACCTGGACCAATTCACACAGGAGATCTGACAGCAGTATCTCATGGCTGCTGGACTCCATGCAGGGTCTGAGAACACAGAAGGGAGAGTTTGTGTCTGATCATCACTGGCTCTCACATTCACTGTCAGCAGCCAAAGAAGGGTTTAAATAACTTAGTAATAGATATTGTATCATTTTAGCAAAACCCAGGAACGTAGCCATGGCACAAGATCCTAATCAGGTTAGATATTCTACAGAGTGGCAACCAACACAAAACCTAGAAGTGGTTACAGGCAGAAATATTTTAAAAAGCATAGGCTTTCCACCTCTGCACCTAAAATTGTTGACAGATAAACATCAAGTTCACGTCTATTATTACCCTGTGGCTATTTTACAGTTAAATCTCATCTCCCCAGGGACTGGGAAGCAAATGAAACAATCCTCAGCAGGCTGGTTAATGCACCACTGTTATATTACAGGTTCTTTTTTCCAAGCTTTAAAATAAAAAGGTCAATTTTTTGTAATTTATGTTTTGCTACCGGTGTTATTTCACACAATATTTACAGTAATTTTAAATCAAATTAGACTATTCCATAACTAATATTTTCAGGAAATTTATCTTTTTTAGTATTCCATTTTTCTGAACTACTACCTTAGCCATTTTTTTTGGATTTTTCTGAATTCCCGCCTAGTAGTCAACATGAAAGCAGGCCACTTGACATTGTTGTCCATTTTATTATCCTCAAGAACCTGGCCAGCCACTTTTTTTACAAAAAACTATATTACTTAAAGCATCAAATTTAAGCACATAGTCAGAACTAAGAACAGCTACTTAAGGACAAGAAGTGGAAGGAAACAAGTAAATCATCCCTTGTGCTGAAATATTACAGAGCATCCCTCCATCTAAAAATAAAAAAGCCTCAGCAATGCAGATGCACTGCAATGAGTCAACTGGAATTCAACGCCCACTGCTCCCTGTTCACGGCAAGGAGGGGGAGCTGGGCAGTCAGTACATTCCCCATTCTCACCTAGGAAGTACTTGAAAATCAAATTCAGTCTCTAAGTGACCAGAGGTCCCTGAGGAGCTGCAGACAGCAGCTCCTGGAGTAGCTGAGTGCTGGGAGCCCTGCCAGCAGAGAAACCTCTGCTCTGACACATCAAGGCATGAAAGGACTTACTGAGCTTGACATTAAGCTTTTACAGAACATCCCAAATGCCTGCAAATAGAAGCAGCATTTTGGGCAAGAATGGCAGGGTAAAAAAAACCAAAACAAAAACTGTGAAAATTACAGGGAAGGTTTTCTGAACATGTTGTATCTTACTGTGTAATCATCTCAACAGATGAATCGCTTGCTTGCAGTGACAGGACAGTAAAGAAATCTGCAGATGCTTTTTGCATCTCAGCTGCTTAAAAGCTTAAAAATCCAAAATATCAGCTATGAATTTAATCTGAATACTTCAGCTTAATGAGGTCCCAACCTTATCTGAAGTAGTAACCAAAAAAAAAAAAGATATCCACACATCCCTAATTCTCCACTGGAATAATTACACTACAAACACTTACTGTCACACAGCAGAGCTCAAATGACAAATGAATTTGAAAGAGATGTCTTGAGGCGTTGAGGCAAGATGAGAAGAAGTAGAAAAGCATCCAGCTGAGGTGTCAGAGTCACAGGGCAGACTCTGGAGACTTCCAAATGGAAGCTGCACCAAAGCAGAAGCTGAACTGGAGCTGGTTTACATCCCAGTCCTTCCAAGTGGAGATGCAGCACTTGCAGCACTTGTCTGCAGGAGCCTGTGTACAGAAAGCACTCACAGCACCAGGGGCCTTGCAGACAGTGACTTTCTTCACACCTTTATCTGAAGCCTCCCGGCAGAATTAGCCTGGTCTAGGCTGTACAGCTGTGACAGAGCTAGGCAGCTGAACCCTCAGTGGTCCTGCCCCGGTCCACAGCAGGCACCAGATGTGGGATAGGATAGCCCATAGTTTCTGGCATGTCACATGTCCCGGCAGGATTTCCTTCTCCAGGTCTTCTCTTCTGCAGCCAAATCAGAGGTGCTTCTCTTAATCAGGGCAGCTGTCAACTTAAGAAGAAAAAAATAACCCTTAAATATAACCCTTTATTAAAAATAATCCTTAAATGTTACATATTTCAGGTCTGTTTATTAAGTACAAAAGAATTTGATAATTCAAGCAAAGTATTGTTCAAAGTTAATAGAAAAACAGCTAAGCTTGTTAGTGCAAACTTAAAAAGGCAAGAGAGTCGCCCAGAGTCTGCATCAGAGAACTCTCGTGTGCTACTCACTTTAAGAAAAATTGCCTTGTTTTGCTTTGAAATTGGCTCTCCCAGGTCCTATAGCTCTTGAGGTTTTTTTATGAGAAAGGACAGCAAACAATCTCTGTTCACCTGTTCTACACCACTTGGTGTTTGCTATCCCACCACACAGATGTCCAGCAGTTATCACTCACTGCATATTCTGCAGATGAGTTGAGCTAACAGCTTGCTCTTTTACTTGCAGGCAAATACAGCAAAACTCATCAAGTGCCAAAAGCATACCCTTGTCTAAAAGGTTCTTTTCCTCATTTCAATTTGTTTAATTACCTCATTTCAACCAATAGTGGCCACAAAGATTACAAACTGATGGACTAAGAACTGCATTTTCCTCTACCACTCTTGAGTAAACATTCAAGCTTGTTCTCTGTTCCAAAAAAATCTCAGGGATTTGGGATTTTAGTTGAGCTGTTTTCAAATGCAAAAGCACACTTTAAGAATTCTTCCTAATACGCAACATCTTGAACTTTGTCTTAATGACAGTTTGTATATTTTGATTGCTTATAAATTCTTCTATATGACAGTATAACTCCTACCAAGTCAGAATATATTCTTCACTGGTCTTTAAATAAAAGTCAAGAATTTGCATGAGTATGCAGTAATATATTACTCTAGCTACCTGAATAAAGAGTTAGTGAAATAAAACATCACCTAGATAATTTTTGTGACAAAAGGTTTGGCCAGTTGCAAGCTGGCATGCTTTAGTAGTTGTTATTCAATTGGCATCTTGTTTTCTTCAATAAATTCACTAAAAATCTGTCTATTTATAATGAAATTTAATATCAGTTATTTAAGTCAAGGGTTTTGCTGATTGTAACTGTGATGAAAATTAGCTTTAAGTTATTTTGATTAAAAATTTAATCTTGCCTGTAAATCAGCTCTAAGTTGAGTTACTCATTATTAATGCAAACATTTCTGAAGGAAAACACAAATATTATTTTGATGATAGAGTCATTACAAAATTTATCCTGCAAGCCATAATGTGATTCGTGGCACACCCCCATGGTTCTGCCTCTTCCCTGCCCATTAAAAACCAAAATGTTTCAATACATTGGCTACAACTTTATTGAAGGGCTGGCATCAGTTTGGGGGACGCTGATGGTTTCTGCCCTGTGTAAAAGCAAGAGGGAGGGAGCAGACAGGCCTGTGAGAGGATTCAAGCCAACTTTAGAGATGGACTGAAAGGTCCTGAGAACAAAACTGAGCCTACAAGGAGGATGATAGTGGTGAAGCCCTTGAGCAGGGCAGAAAATCATCTTAGGGGAGAGGGAGGGTTGTGTGCCCAGGCAGAACACCAGCCTAGTTTACTGCTGGTTTTCCTGAGCTGGCACAGGAATTTCTGTGCAGAATTTCAGGGTAGTTCAACACCCAAAATGACAGAGTCTGGAACAGGAGAGGTCACAAAGCCAGTACAGTCCGGGCAGGTCTGTGAGACTGTGCAGAGGAGCAAGCTGTGCCCAGGCTCAGCCTGCACAGCAGGCAGGCTGCCAGCTCTGCCTGAGCCTCCTGGCTCCCCTTCTGCACCAGAAAAGAACAGGTATTAAATACAGATCTCTAAGAGATTTTGAAACTTAGTACAAAAGTTGCTCTGCAGAAAGCTGAGTTTATCACACTAACTGATCACAGGCACAGGTGGCAGAACAAGGAAGAGAGAGTCACTTGAAATATTCTCTTCACATTCAGACTGTCACTGCAGAGAAATATCAGCAGCAATTGCCTATTTGCACATATTCCTTCAGCTTTTTAAATTTACCCTACAAGCAGCAGATGGCTCTTGATAGAGCACCACAAAAGGAGAGTCTGGAGGCTTGCAGCCTGCGCAGCCCCCCTGTGCCACAGGCAGACAGACACCCTCTGTCCTGTCCTCTTCTTCTGCATGAACCACTACTGCTGCTTTTGGTCTTCCCATTACTGAAAAGCTCTCTCTCACCTTATTCCTCAGAGGAAGGCACAGGCAGAAGGAAGCCAGAGTGCTGGGAAGCCAAAGCTATACACACCAGCAGTACCAGCTCAGAATGGGAATTGGTTCCTTGCTCCCCTCCATATCCTGCTACGTGTATGGCCACAGAGGAAAACAAATGATTGCACAGTTACCCAAGAAACCCATCCAGGTTACCTCAGCTGAGAAAGAAATACCAGTGCAGAAAAGAGTGTGTGATATAGCAGAAGCCAAAAATGTTAATAGTTTTGTGAGATAAGTGCTCTGGCTCACTTTTAATTGTCTTTAATAGTTTATTGATATTATAACCAAAATCAATTTAGAGAAACAAATGAAAGGAAGCACATAGAGAACACAAAATTATGGATACAAATATATCTAAGCTAAAACTTTTTAAAAATCTGATACTACTAGAGGATATAATCAAAGCCAACATTCATTTAACAGGTTTTACAGAGACAAATTATCTCAGAAATGCAACTGTTTTACATTTTGTTTATTACAGAAATTGTGCAGGCACTGCCTGTACTTGAAACAGCATGGTACTAGTACACTTCAAGGACCTGAGAATGTAATTTTTCCTAAACATTTTTTAAACGCAGCTTTACAAATTAAAAAAAAAAAAAAAAAAAGTTAGACTAAAAACAATGAGGCCAAATGAACAAGTTTTTCAACCAGAGAACTTGCTTATTAGTAAGGGAATCTACTTGTGGTTCTCTTTGGTTCTATTTCTTTTCTTTAACTGAAACATCTCCAAGTTCAGATAACTGGCTGAACTCAAATCATTCACTCCCAAGCAGCATAATTCCATTACCTAGGTCTTCAATACCTTTTAGACTAAGGAGAGCAAAGTGCAATATCCATTTTCTCTCCAAGCCTGCTTCACCTACATAAGGTTAACTTATGGAAAGTACAGCAGCACTCATACTTCCATCATGGTTCTGGATATTTCCAGCAATAGTCCCTTTCTGTGGTGTCATCTCTTGTATTGGGAAGGGAATGAGGCAAAAGGAATGAAGATGATTCTTTGACAACTCTTAAGTATGGTGGAAACATTTAAGGTTTTTATTTATCATACATCCTGCATAAAAGACTAATGTTATATGGTACAGAGAGCCTCAAGAAAAGTATTGAGCCTACCGAAAATATAGAACCTCAATACTAAATATTTAAAGTTGCAGAGAAAGGAAAGAATACCACCAACCACGAACCACAGTGCTCTGTACACAGTCTGGCAAGAGGCATAAAAATCACTGTCAGGGCACAAAAGTGTCACCCTGTGCCTTTAAGTGACAGTGCTGTTCCTCTGCAAACTGATACCAACAGTTGAACTGTGAAACAGAGATTTAGAGGCACCTCCACCAAGGTATTATAAAGCTCAGGCTCAGGCTCCAGCTCCTGAAATCACTTTAGAACAAAGCTGCACTACTGCACGATATTGCTTCTGAAAGCTCTGATACATTGCAGAAATTTGTTAGGGACAGATAGCAAGTAACTCACTAGTTACCACAAGTTTAGACTTCAGACTTTGGTAATTTAAGACTTTCTGAAATTATGGTTTACTAGATCTATATATGGAGTTCAAAGTAAAAACTTTGCTGCAAAGCCTTCATTTAGTCTCCTTTAAGTGTGGTTCTGGAAGGAGCTGGCAGGTCATCCTATAATGCGGAAACAGACACAGCTTTTAAAGTATTTAAAAGTCATTCAAACAGCCTATACATTGTGAAACATGCCTAGAAGAAAATACCTGTTCTGCTTCTAAAGTAAGTTTCCTGTTTCTGCAGAACTTTCAGGTCCTCTCACTTCTCACTATCAGCTCCATTTTACCATTCAATAAATCAGCTTTCTTTCACAAAACCTACAGAATGTGGATATAGACTTCAGATATTCAGATATTTCATCACATTCCCAAACAAGTCAACTTTTACTGCTTATTTTCAGAACATACTGATGAGGACTTAAATCACACCACTGCTGATTAAAACAAGTCACTTGACTGCATCTGATCTGTTAAGAGATTTGGAGCCTGGGTTTGCAAGCAAATGTGTCAGTGGAACTGCTAGAAAGAGCACACTCCAAGGCATATTTGCTCAAGACAAAGAAGCTGGCCTAATGGAATAAGAGCAGAATTTAGGTATGTCAGTCTTTAAGACTAATACTCAAAATAAATATATTGTCTACAGTGTCAAATCATGTACTTCAGAGATTTTATTTCATTATCTGATAGCATAAAGCCTATGCTGGAAGACATTCCTAAATGGTTAATGGTCAGTGTAGCACAGGAAGATAAGGACACAGCCAGTCTAACATGTCTGAAACTTTCACTTAGCATTCTGAAAAAAAGCTAAATACATCTCTCAGCTTTACCATGGTGGTAAGAACTGCTACTTCTTTACTGGTTATACAGATTTGGTTTGTGGGGTTGTTTGATTTGTTTGTTTGCTTTTAGTTAATTTTTCAGTACAGAGATAAGCTCAGTGAAACAGATTTTTCACCATATAACTGGATTTGAGTCGTGCTTTCTACTGCACCTTTTAGAAGACCATAAGAACATGCAAGAAACCACACACTCAGCACAGTTTAAAATAATAAAGCTACAGCAATGAAATTTACCAGTCTGCACCAAGAAATGTCTTTTTCTACACTCATAACCACAGATAGGAGAGCAGAACTAAGTACATGGTCTCTGTAAACACAAGGGTACAAAACTGCTTCCTCTCCCCCCCGCCCCGACTGTTTCCTTAAGGGAAAGAACTTATCATGCAAAATAATGGCATCGTATTTTTTCGGAGTATTGCACAGATTAAGATAACACCGGATTAAAATAACCACTTTACAGAAATCCCTTTGCCGGAGACCGCAGTCCCTCCCACCTGCCTGCACCTCAGCCGGGAATGGCCCCGCACATCCAGGGTGTGCAGACGGAGTCTCAAACGCAGGGAAACTCACGTGTGCGTTTTTGTACGTGCGTGTCCGTGTCTGCACACACCGCGACGTCTCTGCGGGACAGAGCGGCAGCAGCGACTCTGCCCGCCGGGCTTGGGCTGCGCTCCGGGCGCTGCCCGGCTCCGCTCGCCCCGGCTGTGCCCCGGCTGTGCCCTCGGCTCCGCTCGCCCCGGCTGTGCCCCGGCTGTGCCCCCCGCTCCGCTCGCCCCGGCTGTGCCCCGGCTGTGCCCTCGGCTCCGCTCGCCCCGGCTGTGCCCCGGCTGTGCCCCCCGCTCCGCTCGCCCCGGCTGTGCCCAGGTAGCGCCCGGGGCTCCGGCACCACCGCGAAGAGTTCTACAGAACTGCAAAAGCAGTGCCAGCCCGACTCCTGGGGGAA